TATCATATTATACTATACTATACTATACTATACTATACTATACTATATTATATTATATTATATTATATTATATTATATCATATCATATTATATTATGGTCTCCGAAGGGTCGAGGCCTGACTCCCCGGCCCGGTCCTCATCTTTGCCGGGCTGTGGTCTGCCTGGAAAGGGGTGAGATTCGTGAATCTCGGATCCCGAAGGCCCGAAGCATCGGCATGTCGGTGCCAACTACGGATGGCCCCAATTTCGCCGAACGAGTCCGAAAGCCTGACAAGCCACCAAGTAAGCTGAAATGCGTTCCAAACCTTGGCCAGCGTTGCAGAAGCTAGTTCAAAAAGGACACACGAACAACCAAGTTGAGTCTCAGGGCAAGCGTCAGCTCGCATAGAAGGCATACACGTCATTCCATCTGGTCTCGCTCGGATTCTTCGGGGAAACCATATAAGCAACATAGCTGCAGTATAGCGTGCCCTGTTCTAGTGATAAAGGAACGTCTCCTCCACGCCTGAATGGTGCCCCAAACCTCATCCCAAAGCCTCCCCCAAACCCCAATAATGTTAGGCCTCGTTCCCCGGCTGCGGCTCTGGCTCCTTTGGGTCCGTGACTATGGCTGAAAGTCCGGGGCTTTCGAGTTAAGGGTCCTCCAGGGCTTTCAGAGTTGTGCAAGTTGGCCCGGGCAACTCCAGGCGAGCATTCTTGTCTTGGGTCGGAAGGCAGCATTTGGGTAAGAACACTAGAATCCCAATCAACATACATAACCCTTATACCTTGCCGAACAGGTGTAGAACCTGTACAGAAAACACAGCCACACTTGCAACACTATGGCTCCGTGTTGCTACTCTGGCCGCCATGATTATTGCTGCAAATGTTAGCCTTGCTCTTGGCTTTATTTCTACGATTTCTACGTCTACTGCTCTTACTTTACAACGAATGTAGATGTCATTGTCATTGTGTTCATGTTTACTCTTCTTACAACTACCTACTAAAGTATTATTATCTTGTCGTTGCCTTCGGCATTGCTCGACTGATGTCTGCTAGGCAAGAACCTCAATACGCTATCTTCGACAAGCACAAAGACAGGCATGACCACCTCTATGTACTGCAACGCCCCTCGCCAAGCAAGCTGAAACTGAGCCCCCGCACCCGTTCGGCAGGACCATTGAAAGCATCCTCCACAGGAATGGCTTCTCCGCTCTGTGGCAATTTCGCAGAACATTTGGCTTCAGATGGACTGGTGGCTGCCACTTGCCTCTTGCATCAGTTGAGGCTCTGTCATGCCTAAGTGCAAGACTGAAACAGAAGTGGAGATTGCGCGAACAGTGCCTGTAACAGCTGCGCTGCTCGCATGTAGCGCACTTCAGCCTGACAGATTGCTCTCCCGCTAGTCACACAATCAAGCGAAGATGCGCCCGACTGCAACCGGCGAGGCCTACGCCATTCAACTACTGCCTTCTGCGCCCACGTGCCTATCGTCTCCGAGTTTTATCAACAGGAACCCCTCCGGTCCCCCCGGTGGCCGGCGCATCCTTCTCCGGGGGCCCAGTGGACCGGCTCGCGGTACGGCCCTGCAAACCAGGGTAAATCTATCTTCAGGTTCGGAAAAGGCCAGTCACTGCCAGGAAGCCTGAAGTTCACAGTCCATCTCTGCCGTCCTTCGAGCCACCATAAACCCAAAACGCAGCCCTCCCTCACAGCTTCAAATCTGCGAAAGCCTTATTTCACCGCAAGATTTGCCAAGATCCCCAAGCCCCGGTGCGCCGGCGAGGAGATGGAAGCGGAGGGCGAGGGCCTCAATTCTCTTTCCGACAGGATACACGATAGAACTTGGCAACAGTCCCAAGTTCTTTCTGACGTAGCCAATAGGATGAACACATCATGTCTTGACACAAGGCGCACATTGAGGGAAAAGTTCCGAGCAACGGATACCACGAAGCTGCAGTATGTTGATTGGAAGCTTGAGGACCGTTGTTGAAGACCTTGTCTGTTAGGATTTGTTAGGACCCGCCAACTTAACGAGGTGCCCTGCCACTTCGGGGGGCTCCTTATTCTCAGACCTGTTCCAGGATCCGAGCGCTTGATAGTTCCAACGAGGGATTGCAGAGCCCGCAGTTTGGAGCAAGTCTCGGGTATGTAATGTGATGATTCCCAAGAGTCTCAATGGTGCTCTATGATGTCTTATCTGGATTCAGAACGGTGTACAATGAGTCCAATGGGTCCAAGTAGGATACTTCTGCTCTGCAAAGTGCTTTGTTGCGGATTCGGGAGGTACAGGGTGATTCAGGATAGTTCTACCTTAACCTGCAACGACGCGTGAACGTTTAAGAGCAACGCTCCACACACGCAAAGATAGATGTGTGTGTGTGTGTGTCTGTGTCTATGTATATACACATATAAACAAACAAATAAATATGTATATATATATATATATAGCTATCGTGTGTGTGTGTATACACATAGACAGATGGATGGATGGATGGATGGGATAATTAGGATAGGATGGGATAGGGTAGGGAGGTAGATAGGTAGGTAAATAGATAGATCGATCGATAGATCGATAGATCGATCGATAGATAGACAAATAGATAGATAGACAGATACATAGATAGACTCTCAGATAGATAGATAGATAGATAGATAGATAGATAGACAGATAGACAGATACAGACAGATAGACCTCTGCCCCCAAATACAGACAGGCCGGGTGTGCGGCGCAGTTGGCAGAAGAACCTGAAGCACATTGTCGCAGAACAGGTTTCGGGGCTGAGACTTTTGTGACCACAAAAACGCGATAAACTCAGAACTCCTCGCAGCATGCCCAACTGCCCCGCAATTGAATCGACTGAGGGCCGAACCACCTCGCTCGACTGTGCAGACAGCTTCAGGATGCTTTGATCACGCCTGGGCCGAGTCCAATCCAGCCCTCCTCTCCGAAATGAGTCCGAGTCCGAGGACGGCGATACTATTTTGGGGACTCCTTATTATAATTCTAGTATAATGGGCCCCAAAACCCTATTCTAATTATTAGGCGGCCTCTGCTGGTTCTTGTTCGCGCACAGACTGGGACAGCAAGCAGCCCCAAAGCCCCGATGTTCCCCAACCCTGGACTACAGTCTTCTGCAGCTGCAGAAGCCACAAGCCCGCACCCTGATGACTCAGATCCTCAAAACCCCTGAGACCCCCAACTCTAAACCCTGCCTGCACCATAAAGTCTCAATTCCTGAATCCGAAGCCTCGCTTGAAACCTGGCCTAAGAGGGCCTTACTGCTACGTACTCCCTTGACGCCGCGTACCACTGCTGCTCTGCAACCGGCTGCACTACTACTTTAAAACATGGAGCTGCCCAAGCCCACAAGTAGAATCCCCTGGGCAAACCAAAGAGAACCTCCTCCAACTTTCGCCCTGCACACCAAGCCCAAATTCGAGAAGCCCTCGGCCCTAGAGACCCAAAACCCGAAGCGTGGGAACCGGCGGAGCTGGAAGTTGGCTCGAGCTGTTTCCTTGCAGAACAGTCGGGACTTCGTTTCGTTTAGCCAGGGTTTAAAAGCGGCGGGCATACCGGGGGGCCTGAGTTCAAACATTGGAACAGGGTTTCTTGGGGCTCGATGAGCGTTGCCGCCCCGAACCGCAGACCCTCCTTCGGGAGTAGCTCCCAGAGACTCCAATATCCCTTAATTAAGGAATCTACCTTAAATCATATTAGGGATCCTACTATAATTTAAGGAATCTTCCTTAATTAAGGGATATTGGAGTCTCTGGGCTGTTTGTGGACCTCGCTGGGTGCAAGATGCCCCCGGCTTACCTCGCAAAGGGCCTCTTGAGAGCTTCGAGGCATCAGAGTTCTGTCTCGTCGTTTTTGTCCCACCTGGTTGCTGAAGCATGGGGTTTGCACTCTCACAACTCGGACAAGCCAGGCGAGAAGCATGGGATTAAGGTTTGCGGTTGCAAGCTCTGGGTTGGGCCCCGAAAAATTTCGAGTTCCTCTGCTGCCTCCTGCTCAGATTCCAAAGGGCCACTCCACAGAAAATTCCCCTTGTCCTTGCAGCGGCGAGACCTCAAGACCCAGCACCTCAAGCATTTCAACCCTCCACCTCTTGGTGGTTCGAGCCTCCTAGCCTGCAGAACAAAACGAACAAATCCTGAACACCAAAACGCCACACCCTAAGCCTTAAGGCCGGCACCCCAACCATCCCCAACCCAAAACCCTGAACCCCTAGTAGGGCCCAAGGGCCCTGGCGGCTGAGTCGCATCAGGCCATCCTCCTCGGGAGACAGTGCAGGAGCTGAGGACGGAAAGATCGGAAAGCCTAGTGACTAGTGGCTTTCTAGCAGGGTTTTCTCTAAGATAAAAGCAGGAAGAGCTCGTTGAAAACAACCTTTGTCATCCCGAGATTCTTACACAACGATTGTACAATCGACCCCACAAGCTTGCTGTAAGTGTTAAGGGCCCCATGCTGAAGGGCTGAGAGCAGTGCAACAGTCATGAAGTGGCCACTTCACTAGCTGGCTTAGCAAGCAGCGGTCTGGAGATGCAAGTGCAAAAAAGCCACAATCCCAAAACAAGCCTTGCACTGTTTGGGACAAGCCCTCAACTCAAATCCAGACACAGCTTGAGTTGAATGAACATCTCCAACAGCAACCCGAGAAGATCCATCCTCGAGAGCGAGTTCGAAGCTACTTACCCCCGGCTCCTGCGAGGCGGGAAGGCGCCCGGCGTTCAGCTTCGGCCCTTGCACGGAGACACGGCTCGGGTGGCGTTGCTTGCTGCACTTGCTGCCAGTGATCTAAGGTGATGTTGTTCCTTGGGCGGTGCTCTCGGCGTTCTCTCTGCACCGGAACTACTTACATAACTTCTCGACTACGGCCTGCGCCACCAGTACCATCACCAGTTCCACTTGTCACTACTGTAGTGACTCACTGCTATTCCGACAGCTGCTGCTCTGGCTCCTGCTGTTCCCATGCTACTCCTACTACGACTACTACGACTACTGCT